TGTCTAGAGGGGAGTGGCGGGGGGTGGGGGGTACAGCTTTAAAAAACTTTTTTTAAATAAAATGTTGTGGCTGGAGTTGGGCCTTCAGTCAAATTAGAACACCTACCAAGTGTAAAAGCAGAATATTTGTATTTTAAAGTCAGTCCCAATGTTTCTCTCATGACAGGTTTATTTTAAGAGGTCATTGGTCCTACAAGCAACAGGAAAAACTTGAGGGAGCTAGGTAATGAGGAAGCATGAAGCTGGCTGGTTAATGGTTATTACACAGCACCAATCAGGAAGCCCCTGATACCAGAAGTATCTGGCTAGGCATTGGAGCATTTGGGCGAGTACTCGCCCAAATACTCGGCATCGTATCGGTATCGGTGCAACCCTTGTTAGAACATCTGACAAAGTTTTCTTGTCTGCGTATTCATGTCCTGTGACTAATGCATATCCCCCCCCATTTCTTGTGTGGGCATGAAAGGCACAGGAAGTGAGGTCAGATCTCTCCAATGGGGGTCATGAATACAGATATGAAAACATTACAGAACATTTTAATTCCTCTTGACTGTAAGTAATGAAAGCATTTGGCTGGATTTAGGTTTTCAGATTTTCATCAGCCTGAGGCCTCTGACCCGATGAGAGAATTATACCTGTTTTAAACAATGACTTGCTAGAAGTTTAAAACGATGTGATGCCCAGAGATGAGGTGCTGTGAAGTTTTTAACATCTCAGTGTTTTGTAATACCGGTCTTCTTCTGTCTTGTTCTTTTTAGCAAGCTGTAGCAAAATGATCTGTTTTGTTGAGTTCACTAAATATTTGATAATAGCACTTAAATTATTCATAACTATTTGCCGGATGTGATAACTTTAACAGCGAGTATCTGGCAAGCCTGCTGTGTGTTTTAGATTTTGCCTGGCTGTCTGAAAATGTGAAAAAATATTTTTCTTGTATGTTGCTAACAATGCTATTATAGAGAATTTCACAGGCATACATTCCTAAACCTGAAAGTAATGAGATCTAGCGCTGCATATTGAAGGTCATATGAATTCATACAGAGCCTGCTTCCTTCAAAGGCAGTGTTTCTAAGTCAGATATTCCGTCACAGCAAGATTAATGACGGGTAGTACTCTTGTGAATCAACATACATTTAGTTTTCATCATATGTGCGGTCCCATTCATACTCCACTGACAACTATTTGCTCAAATAACAATTGCTGTACTTAACTGTTCCATAAATGTATGAGAGTCTGCTTATTATGTCTCCTGTTCCCTGTTTTATCAATTCACTTTTGCCAGTTTTAGTTTAAAGGAGAACTATGAGGTGAGTGATTTTCACTCATCCTCATAGTTCAAGACGACCTGTGACAATGAGACTGTCACACGTTGGCTCAATAGATCGGGATGTGAGCGAACACATTGCGTCGCTCGCTCACTTCTCGATCATGTCCCCGCAGAGAGCCGTGACGGTCACTCATGGCTCCCTGCAGGGATTCTTACCCCTTACAACAGGAGGGGGTTCACCTACCTAGGAATTTGTCTGGCAAACTTAGGAGAGGCTGCGCATGGCCTACAGGTATGCCATTTAACTTAATTTCTGTTTAAAATAAAACAATTTTTCCCCCTAACGTCTTCCAGGAAAGCATCTTAAGATATGGAGGCTCCTCCCGATCCCCCGATGCTGTCCTGGAAGACTATTGGAAATTGAGTTACCGGTAAGTCCTAACTCTAGATTTCAGGTCAAATTTTTTTATATTGGAATTCATGTAAAATGTTTTGCTGAAGGTGCACTAACATCTTAAAGGATCTGTTTCACAAAGCAAATCACCCATCATTTTTTAGCCATTCCATGACTGATGCTACATAATAGTTCTAGAGCAGGGACTATTAGAATTGAGCAGGTTTGGTGTAAGCAGCAATTTATTATGCTATACGAATGAGAAACATGTAACGGTTTATAAAATAGGTGTTATCCCAATTTGGCTGCAAAAATGGAAATACGCTTGAACTCTGTCAGCAACATACTAACCTTTTACCGACACTTGTAGCTGCGGCATGAAGGTTACCATTCCTGGCTAAAAACATCACAATCTGTTGAAAAGCCTGATTTAGTTGTGCAGTAAATGTAGTTCCGTGGTGGTACATTGTTCTTGTATTTTTTGTCACACACAGGGACATGAAACTGGAAGGAACAAGGCAGCGCCATTCCTCTGGTGGCATGAATACAAGAGAATTGATCCTCGGCCTCGAAGGAGTGGAACTTGGTGCTGATGGGAAGGTGAGAATGTAAGCACTGCTTGTAAGACCATTCGATAGTGGTTAGACCTCAAACACCACAGTGTAACATATTTTTCTAATACTACATTTTATTTAGGATACAGTTCTAATTGTCACTAACATGATCCTAGAAGGACAAAAGGCACCCAGTTGCCATTGTTTAAAAACCATGTAATACCAGTCCTATACAATAACAAAACAGTATTTACTGAGCTCTGAAAGGATGTGTATTTGAAATATTAATATTCTTTTGCATTTTAAATGCTCATTAAAATATTAACTACAATGAGCCTCAGATGATAAACAGATGGGAACAACTTTATTGAGCATGGAGAAAAGGAAAATTAAAGAAATATTAAGCTACAGATGATGGATCTGAAAACCAAGCACAATTATTTAAAGTCTGGGAATGGCCCTGGAAAATAGTAGGAGTTAGAGAACATAACTTGTATTTCATTTAGGTTTGATGTGCCAGGTTTTGAGGTATATAAACTTGGGAGCTAGCTTAGCTTCAACATGTACCGGTATTAGCCTTTGTTACAGGTAGACAAAATATAAAGGGATTACAATTATGGCACTGGACTCGCATTCTGTTAGCTTTGCCTCAGGTAGAAATGATGAAAAGAGGCACATAGATGGCAGATTACAGGAAGCCTGATAGTTCAGTGTTTGCTCAAGTGCTCAGTTGGAGCACTTGAGCAAACACTATTGTTTAATGGTAAGAAAAGTTGAATAAAAAGCAAGGTTTTGAGTCTCCAGTATACATCCTGCTTACTTGTAGCAATATACGTGTGGCATTTGACAACCTGCCAAATTAGTTTGTCTTTTTTTTTTTTAATAGTCATCCATATCGCCCATTTTGAAATTAGTGATGGCATGTCATGCATTACTTAAATGCATGAAGGGTGGTAGGTAAAGGTTCTGTATGCTGCGCAAATAATGTACTCTTCAAATATGTTCCTTAGTAGCCACAAAATCCACATTGTTAGCACATATTGTTGTCAGGTCAGTTTTATCCCATGAGTGTCAAGCTGGTCATATAGGCTGCAATCTGATTGTACAGTATGTTTACAAAATCGTTCAATAGTACCGTAGATGTAAAGGAGATTGTACTGTCAGATTTAGAGCTGCAGCTAACGATTATTTTCAAAATCGATTAGTTAGCCGATTATTAAGTTTGATTAATCGGTTAATCGGATAAAACATTAAATACATTTTAAAAAATGACTCCAGTGATGGGACTACTAGTTTGTATTGAGATTGTAGTCCATCACAATTGGTGGCTGTCATGCGCCCACACCTGCTCCTCCTTACTTCTCCCTGCGTACCTGTGCCGATGGATGTGAGCGTGAGGCGGGGAGGAGGTGCGGCGTGTGGAGCGTGGATGCGGCCGGGTGGGTCTGGCAGCGGCGAGCGTGAGGTGGAGGTGTGGCGCGCAGCATGTGTGGAGCCGTGAACAGGGCCAACCAATCGGAAGCCGATTAATCGATGATTGCAAAAGTTGACAACTTTTTCAATAATCGATTATAATCGATTATGTCGATTAGTTGTTTCAGCCCTAGTCAGATTGTTACACGAGTGGTCAGCTTTATGAGCACTGTGCTACATGTGCTTTGAGCAATGAGCAGTGTACACGCTCGTCTGTCCATAGTGTGCACTACATCTATTTTACATTGAAAGAACTTTGTTTGTATTAAAGAAAAGAGTTGTGCAAAAAGTGACTTTCTGTTGTCAACGTTTATGCTGATTGTAGTAAAAACAAGGATGTGGACTAGTGCAACAGGTTTTATTTTTCTTGGGCACCTTTAAAGAAAAGGATCACTCTGATCTTCTAGGATGTGCTAAACTGTATCTTACTAAGTATTCGTATTAAAAGCCAAAATGTCAATGCTTCATTTTCAATTCTGCTGTTCTTATAACGTGCTTCTTACTGCTACTTTATATAGATATGCAATGTATTGAAATGACTCCCAAGGATAACTATATTTCATAGGTGGTATATTGCAATTGCTTTGGAATCCACACTACCCAATTAGCCTATAAGATTATGTTGGAAGCCGCTCAATATACAGCATTTATTTGTAGATTCTCTATAATTCACAGAAGACCATATTCCACTGTGTTAAAAAGCTGTGATGTGCTGTAACCCATGGCAGCCTAACCGAATTAACTATGTTTAAATAGCCAAATTAATGCAGGCTGATTAGTGTTACATCTATTCAATAATGAGATCTATATTTATGTATATATGTGTGTGTGCGTGTGTGTTTATATATGTATATATATGCTAGTGAAAAAAAAATGACAGCAACTGTGCCGCCTAAATGTTTAATGTCCTCTGACGAGCTACTGGCAATCTTTTCTCTTCTCCAGACTGTATCATATACACAGTTTTTGTACCCCACCAATGCCTTGGGAGCACGTAGGAATACAATCGACTCCACTTGCTCTTTTTCTCAGTTTCGTAATGCAAGTCAACGCAACCTGACCCTGGGAAGAGCCAACAGTATACAGGGGAGCATCGATACAGGTGACATGATCATTTTACAGATGTGGTGTTTTATGGGAATGAGGTGGGGGGATGCAGTTTCAGTCTCCATGCATGTGTAAGTTATATGCTCATACCTTGGCCTTAGTGATGCACTGTGGGCTGTATTTAGAACCCCGGTACAAAGTGTAGTAGCCAAGGAAAACCAATCATCATCTATCAGCAGTTTACTGTTATTTGGCTAGAGCTAGCTGGTGTCTGGTTCTATCTACTCCTTCCACTGTCTTCTCTGTATGCTGCTGGTTGATGACCCCAATTATGCAGTTGCTGATAAACTTTTACAATAAACTTTTACTATAAAACTAACTGCCTGGTTAGCACACAAAGAACATGATTACTGAAGGTGCTAGAAAGCACCTGTAGTGTTGCTGAAAATGATGTGCAGTTGCTTCCTAATGCCAGGTTGCTGACCTGAAACAAATTTAGAGACAAAGAAACCTGACTTTTATTTCCATCTTTGCACCTGGTCTGTTATTCAGAAGTATAAAACCCAGACATAGACCGGGAAGCATCATTTTTTGAAGGGGGCTAACTAACTAAAGGATATTGTTATTGTCCCTCTATTTGTACTAGGTAGTGACATAGGAGACTTTACCGAGTACGATCCAAATCTCCTGGATGATCCTCAGTGGCCATGTGGCAAGCACAAGCGGGTTCTAATATTCCCCTCCTATATGGTAAGTCTTGTTACTTGTCTGCTCTGTTTGTTATACTAAGAATAGAATGGAGAAGAGTTTCATACTTGCTGTACAATTTCAAGTTATCAACAGCATGGGGGTAACCATTTGTAGTCAAGATAGCATACAGTTGTAGTCCGGTCCAGCCCATTCCAGTCACTGAGAAGTGTTCGGGAGGCTGAACAGTAACCCCTAATGTAAATTGTAGGGACAGCAGTGTGCACTGTAAGTTTCTCTATGCTGCTATTTTGGAAATAGAGGTTCATATATTGACAGTGAGGTATTTTAGTAAATTTGATATTATAAATTTGAATGCAGTGACCACAGCGCTCCGACTAGCCCCTGGATATTACAGCTTTTTGACCTGGGATCAACGAGGACCCCAGTGCTGCCAACTGACAGCATGTTTGTTGAAGTAATACACCTACATTTGAGGAGATTCAATATTTTGTGCAGGCTTACTGATTTATATTTGCCTCCGTATCTAGTTAATCTGCAAAGTCAGACAAAGGTAAACTTACTGTACAGCTAAATGTGGGGGCGATTTTAAACCCCTCTTATATAAGTCTGCACATTTATAAACATTTAAGACAGAATATTCAGATTCTTGCATGAGCCCCCTAGTGACCGTTTCTCTTGATGGGAATCCTTCACTAACGGCAATACCTGGAGACTGCCATTGCTGACTTGTTTAAAAAACACAAGTTTCCTTTCTCAAGCTGCAATGCTCTGGAACACTGACCTGGGACAAAAATGAGATCAGAAAATTCAAAGTAAAGTCAGATCTCCTAATCTGCACGCTTGTTTCAGGTCAACTTTGAAAATATTGAATCTTGTTGTTTGGCATGATGGCCATAAAACTAGCATTCACAGAAAGCGAGGTCAGCAATGGCTGACTCCGTACAGCCTCTGTTCCTTTGTATAATTGGGCCTGTTATTTTTATATAGTGCTGTCAATTTACATACTGTTTATTCACATCTTTCCCGGCCCTCAAGAAGCTTACACGATTAGATCCCTATCTCACATGAACACATCTACTAGGGTTAATTTAGACAGGAGACCATTAACCTACCAGCCTGTCTTTGGAGTGTGGGAGGAAGCCAGAGTACCCGGAGCCCATGCAAGCACAGGGAGAACATGCAAACTCCATGCAGATAGTGTGCTGGCTGGGATTTAAACCGGGTACCTCAGTGCTACAAGCATGGCAGCCTTTTTCAATGTAGTGCAATTGATAGCGTCAACATTTCTTTCATGTCAGGTCTAGTTGAACTACTAGTCCACCGGTGAAAGCCAACTGAAATGGGTCGGTCTTATATATCTGTGGAGGTCTGATGATGTCCATAAACATGGCAAGCTGTGCCCATTCCAGCAAAACAGGGTGAATCAAGCCATGATCAGCTTTAGGGCCTGCGTAGATGGGCTTTCGGCTTGTGTTGATGGCATCAGTTTAAGACACCTCTGAGATAATTTATAATTGATTGTAAGATGCAATTGACCTTCTGACCTGCATTTGACTTACTTCAAGCAGGTTTTGCAATGCTATAGACTTTGGAAATGTGAAATCTGCTTGAAGTGAGCCAAAGGCTGGTGACACAGACCCTAAGTCTGTGGGTGCTTATAGGGATAACTTATCCTGATTAACTTAAGCTTCACTTAAATCTTCTTTACTTTTCAGACCACTGTAATAGAGTATGTGAAACCATCTGACCTCAAGAGGGATATGAATGAAACTTTCAAAGAGAAGTTTCCTCATATCAAGCTTACACTCAGCAAAATAAGAAGGTATGTCACTTTTTCCTCTGAACAAGATTCCACTGATGACACATTGGGCCCAAATCACAAACCCAAAGCACCCAGATAAGAATCCTTCATTTTAAATGTGAGATTTTATGTGCCTAAATATTAAGATCCTTATCGTGTGTGAAGCCTTGAAAACTGAGCCTATTGTAGTTTTGCAGTGTAGGGCCCTAAGACTATTAAATATTTTAGTTTACTTTTCCCCCCCACAGATTTTACAAAGGAATGCAGCATGGAATGTATTATTCGGCATCATCCGTGTACTAGCCACACCATGCAGGCTTTGTCCTAGTAATATATTCTAGTACAGTATCTTTGTATCATTCACAATACAGACACCTGCTGCAATGCCACACTCAGAATCAGCTATTGTGTGTAACTACAATACATTGTTCCCCTAGGCATACAGTAGGTGACATTGGCCTTTCATCATATACATAATTACAATGCTAAAAATATACACATGAGGTTAATACCAAAGCAGGTTGTTTCATGAATGACGTTAAAGTCCTTAGTTTTGTCTAGGTCAAAAGCATTTTCTTCAATCATCCAACACAGAACTAGGTCTGGCCAAATCTAATTATCTCAAATCAACCTGTTAAAAGAAAAACAAAACACAAGTATCTACATGTGTATCTATGTAGCCAGTGCTACAAAAAAAAAAAACTATCGTCAGTGCCAAACATTTTGAGTCCTTTACTACTTTGGAACTTTTGAAATGAGAGAAATATTAACCAGGTCATTTAGAAATGTTAGACTTCTTGTCAGCTGTGCTTTCTTGTGTGTGTATCCACAGTTTAAAACCTATGGAGAGATCCGTGCATGCACAGTGCCTATTGATTGCCATAGAGACCTTTTGAAGGTTTGACTCTTTTAAGACGTTCAGTCAGGAACCCTTAGTGAATCATCTGCAGTCGTCCTGCTCAGTTATTACTAAGTCTTAAAAATCAGGCAGGCTTGTTTTAAAGGTGACCTACAGATGCCACATAGGTTAAATTATATGATTGCCGAATGACTGCACTGTATAAAGCTGACTATGCACTGTTCATTTTTTTTTGTTCAGCACCACAGGCTGATTGAGGTAAAAAAACAAACCCAAGTTGATTTCCCCTTCCAAGCCTCCCCATAGATCTATTGCGTTCTGACAGCAGCAGGTATTCCACTCTCAGAATTCCCAAATAGTGACAGCAGCTTATTGGCAATAGTCACTGTTCAGCCAAAATGTTTTGGATTGGCTCCTTTGACAAAAATCGATTGAAAAAAAACAGTGGGTCCCAGCGGGGCCACCAGTGTATGGCCAGCTTTAAGGTGCACAGTGACTATTGCATGGTGCATACTTCAATAAAAGGGTTCAGAGGTTGGCCATATACACTGACAAATATGGACATTATACTGATTATTATATTCCATTTTAATATTGAACTGTTTCAATACTGGTATTGATTTTCCTATAGCGTTATTTCCATTAGACATGTGCGATTCGTTTGGTTACGAATCGAAATTCGTACGAATTTTCCTGAAATTCCGAATTTCGGGAGCATCCGAATCCGAATTGCATTTTCCGAATTATATATCCGAAATACGAAATTCCGTTCCGAATTTCGGATCCGAATTTCTTTGAAATGGGAACTAATATTACCCCTGTAAATGAGGTTGAACAACATGACAAGATTTTTTTTTTAAATCCGAAATACGGATCCGCTGCTGCTGAGGGTTGCATTACAATACATACAGGCAGGAAATACGAAATTCCGTTACGAAAATCCATTATATTGAAGGTAAAAAGCAATGTACATTTATATTGCAGTTGATGGTAGTTTTTTTTTAAATCCGAAATACGGAATTCGGATACGGAATCCGTTAACGGAATTCGTATTTTGTTTTGGTTGACCAATCAGGTTTTCCCTTCTGCTGCTGAGAGTTGCATTGCAATTACAGGCAGGAAATACGAAATTCCGTTACGAAAATCCGTTATATTGAAGGTAAAAAGCAATGTACATTTATATTGTAGTTGATGGTAGTTTTTTTTAAAGTCCGAAATACGGAATTCGGAATACGGAATCCGTTAACGGAATTCGTATTTCGGATAAAAAAAACAACTACCACATCGACTCCAATATTAACAAAGGTATTTTGCTTTTTAACGTCATCATAACGAATGTTCGTACAGTTACGAAACTATAACAGCCACTAACGAAATTACGTATTTCGTACGAATCTGAATTGAGTTTTGACACGAAATAACGGATTTAACGAAACAGAACAAATTTTTTGACGGCGCACAAGTCTAATTTCCATGCCATGCATGTTTATGATCCTCCTTGAGATTATTCAGAATAATCAATATGAAATCAGTTGATTAATCTCATGCTCTTCTTAGCCCCTAGGTTGATATTTCTGTAGTTGCTGTCCTAAAAAGTATTTGAAATGACTGGCTATTCATCTGCAGCGACTTTTCAGTAGCAGTCCATTGAACGATATGCTTGTCTGTTTGTAGCCTGAAGCGGGACATTCGCAAGCTGGCACAGGAGGAATGTGGCTATGAGGAGCCTACTGTGGCCATGGCGTTTGTATATTTTGAGAAGCTTGCATTGAAGGGGAAGTTGAACAAACAAAACAGAAAGCTTTGTGCTGGAGCCTGCATCCTATTAGCGGCCAAAATTGGGAGTGATCTCCGAAAACATGAAGTCAAACACCTGATTGATGTAAGTACAAGAGACTCTTTACTGCTAAGCCATAGAAACACAAGGGTGCGGATAAAACGACTTGGTGCATTAACATAAAAACATAAATACATTCTACACAGAAATACGAGGCAGTTATACGTTCTTAGTAATTCTTTAATTACTGTTTGTAGAGCCCCCTCTTATATTTTTTCAGAGAAGAGTAAAAATTTAAATGATGTGGAAGTATAACATGCACGAAGTAGGAAACAAAATACAGATTGTATTTACATTGGATAGAGTAGGAAAGAGTTAGAACAGATTTAATAGCTGTCTGTGTTGTGTCCCCTTTATGAAATATCTAACCAAAGCTGACCATACACTATACGAATTTCGGCCGCTTCTTGATGAACCAATGAGCAAGCTGGCAACATCCACATTGAGATTATGAGATAGCAGGGTGACAACACTATGGACTGTGGATTTAAAAAAGATTTAAAAAACTATTATTCATATCAACTTTCTGACCTTGCACATTGTTACATTCAACAGGTTATGACTAGGGCAAAGGTTTCCATAAACCTCTCTAATATTGAAGAATTAACAAATGTTACTTGAGAAATGTGCTTCATAATTAAAGTGGTAGAAAGCCTGCAGCAAATGTCTAGAAATGTGACCCCTTAGTGTGTCTCACTAGTATTGCTGTAATGTTTCTTTGTCACTTTGTGATTTATTATTATTAATTTTAGGGTATAGGGAATAATGGTTTTAAAGCATTCTTGTTCCCTTTCAAATTGTTGTGCTATAAATATATATTCAAAAAATATAATTAAATGATTGTTTGTGTATGCTGTGTTTGAAATTAAGCCCATTTGTCTTTTAGCACAAAAATACAATTGGGAAAAAAAACGTGCCATGAAAATACATATTAAAGCATTTTTGAAATAGTTTCTATATTGTCTGTACATTTATTCTATCCCCCTTGTAACCTTGCAGTAATAAAAACATCGAAGCCCTGATTTATATCTGCAATAGCACTAAAAATGAATGTGATATATTTTCCCGTGCAGGGCAAAGCGACAGGTTCACTTAACTGCCTCCATCCTCATCTGCTTATACTTACCTTCCCTTAATGCTCCACTGTGAGTATCAAAGTAAGCTCTGTGCAATCTCAAATTCCAAGTTTACACAGGGCTGAGAACTCTCTCTCCACCCTCATGCTCTATGCCTGAGCAGCCAGTTATCAGTCATCCCTGCTTGGGCAAAGTGCCGGTTCAGTTAAAGGTGTGCCAACAAGTGACAATAATATTGTCTGTAGGCCATTTTAGCATACTTAACGTGCACTTATCCTTCTTGTGTCCTACCCCTGACCCCATACCAGACCCAACACCCCCTGAGGATTCATGCTAACCAAGATCTGATGGCCAAAGTTCTGTTTTGTTTACATTCAGTGCCACACTGCTCCCTCTGCTGGCCGCAGCAGCACATTACAGACCAATAGTCTTCTAGGGGCCATTTCCCAGCAGGGAGAGAGACTTGCAGTGCTGGATGTCCACAAACTGCAGAGCAGTGGCCATCGAGTCTCTGAGTATAGAGCTACGAAGGGCGAGGGTGGGATCCTTTTAGGTCAGGGGAGGGGGGCAAGAAGAATAAATGCACTTGTCTAAAGGTGTGCTTATTTTTTAAGGTATCCTAACGCTTTTATGACCAAAGGTCATTGATGCATAGATGCTCAGACCAAATTCAGCAACATCAGAAAGTGTTGATTAATGTGACAATAACTCTATAACTAACTTGCTTTCCCAGAAAAATGTACCTTCCCAGAAGCCGGGAACATAGATTAACTTCCTCTCATCATGGACAATCACATAGGAAGAACAGTAGTGTACAGTTTGCTCATGGGATGTGGTTATTGCAGTTTAATAAATCAGGCTGAAATATGGTACTTTTCACAGGATTCCGATTTATACCCTCACCTAAATACCCTCTTTCTACCTTTTTGGTCTTTGTTTCTTCTTCTAAATAACAGTACACTGTATTTAACATAAAATAATGACTGCCTGGTTTTCTGCTCCTTAGAAACTGGAAGAGAAGTTTCGTTTGAACAGACGCGAGTTGATGGCATTTGAATTTCCTATCCTGGTTGCCTTGGAGTTTGCTCTTCACCTACCAGAGCATGAAGTCATGCCCCATTACAGACGTTTGATCCAAAGCTCCTAGCACCGGCTACATGTCTTCCTCTGGGACAGTGGAGGAGCTCACAGAGCCACAGCTGCTATTGGACATGTATACTAATGATTGCATTATTACCTACACTGATTGGAGACAGTCATATTGTGAACTGACACAGTAGTCAAAAACACTTTGAAGGCAGAGATAAGCTGAATGTCCTGTGTAGGTGACATTCTATCCCATTATACTGTTCCTCTAAACATTTCCTAGTCCTGTTTGTATGCAGGTCCTGTGTGCACGTTTATACCCATACATGACAGTGGGACATTTCTGGCAGTGTGCTGGGAACTTTGTAGAATGGATCTTCTAACCTATGGATTGGCAGAGTTGAAATATGTATACAGCACATCCACCTTGGCACCAAAGTGAGCAACAGGTGGTGCACTTATTTGGATGTGGAGCCTCCTTCACATTGGACAAGGGGTGCTCCATGCCTCAAAATCTTTGACTGGGAACCTGTTTAATTAGCTCAGTTCACAAAATGGCTGTCTACACTTTGGGAAGGTGCCATTTATACTTTAACACCAATATTCTCATTGGAACAACTAGCTGGTATTGTTTTTATAAGTAGATTCTATTCCAGAAAACTGTTGAGAGGAGAATTGACATGTGTGGACCACAAGCTGAAACATCCAGCACTTTTCTCCTCCAAGATGAACATTTTAACTTCAAACTCACAAGTGGACTTTGTCATCTCTTCACCTTCAGGTCTGACATTCATTGTGAAGGACATTTCATTAAGGTGCCATGTCAGGCGTTAACCTCCACTGTGTCAAAAACAAACGTGCCAATGTATTTCTTACAAAGAAAGAACTCGTGTGCCTAGCTGTACCGGAGGAACCCAAGATATTGGCTTGAGCCTGGATGGATAAACTGTGTCAAATGAATCTTATTAACCTCAACTGGCACTGGCCATGACACACACAGATTAGCACTACAAATGGTTTCATTCCACCAGTATACTCTCTAAAACCAGGACATGTAGGTGATCTGATTTCTTCAGTGACATTTTTGCTATGAAGCTACAACATTTTAACAGATTGCACATTTCCACTGTGGAAGAAACGCATTGAGTCGCACAACTTGGTGTTAGGAATCTTTTGTGCTCTATGTTAGAGTGCATCTTGAGCACGTTTTCTTGTGCTACATGATATAAAGCAGTGTTCTGAGAAGTAACTGCCCATTATAATTTCCACCGACAATACATTCATCTCCAATACTGACTGATGTGTGATTCTATACAGATCAATGTAACCTATCTAGCATCAAACGAAAACGAATACAAAATGTATTCTGCTGTATGGTTTGTTTTTTTTATCGTCATTTTGTAGCATAATTTATACTTGACAATTGTATATTGTTGAATTCATAGCTATGATGTGGGAGGACAGGTTTTTTTTTAGGTAATACAACTCCCCCTGTGCACAGTGCTGTGCATTTAGGTTTAGTTTATAGGGACGTTGTTTACAAAGTTCAGAAACCAACCAAATGTAACCTTGTTTTTATTGGCTGAGAGTAGTCATAACAATGAAAGGTGATTGGTTTTTATGGGTTACTGCACTTTGTACACTGCTCTTCCTTATTTAATAACCCAACTTATGTTTTAATCTATACAAGTCATAGAACCATTGCTTAGCTAAAGAAGACAATGATGCTCATTTATAGTGATTGCATTATCACAATATGGCTGACTGTAGGCATTGGGTACATATTAATGCCACACTGCCAAAACCATAAACATAACTTGTTAAATACAGTCATTCTGGACTGGACACGTCACTGGAACTACATGACCAGTGCATGAGATGTATGGTGGTGTCTACTGTTGACACTTGTTTCCACCCAAGACGGTGGATATTCTGCTTGAAGTCAACATTTTTTTTTCTTCTAATTTCTTAATCCTTTGTTCTAATTCGTATGCAAGGGCTAAATATCTGTACATGCAGTATTTTCTGGGGACGGGGGCTCCACTGTTCACCCCTCTGGCTAGCTTAAAACAGACCACATGCATATTACGAATTTAGCTCCAGGAGTTTGGACATTTAAGAGTGCCTTCAAGTGGTAGCATTTTTAGGCTGCAGTCTGTTTTCATTTACTGACTCTTTTCACTCACAGGCAGAGATTTCATTTTTAAATAAAAAGACAGAAAATGTTGACGTTGGATTAATTAAGTTAAAGAATCGGAGCAAAATGTGTGTTTTTTTTATTTTATTTCCTAACAGGCCATATCAGCTGCTAAATTTAATATTAAAAGACATTTCTACTTTAGCCGGTCTACTCTCAATGCTTAAAGTAGGTAAAAACCAATCACTGCAATGTGATATTATATTTAGCATTTTAAACTATTCTCAATCTTTTAAAAGTGATTCTGAGTAAAATGAAGATGTAAAAAATGCCCCCTGCATCAAAGGTGCACCGCCACCCATGTAACCAAACTTCCTTGTATTGAAGCCGTATCGGTGCCTGAAGAATCTTCCAGGAATGTTGGATCCCTTGTCTTCTTGTATTGAAGCCGTATCGGCACCTGAAGAATCTTCCAGGAATGTTGGATTCCTTGTCCCTTGTAGTGAAGCCGTATCGGTGCCTGAAGAATCTTCCAGGAATGTTGGATTCCTTGTCCCTTGTATTGAAGCCGTATCGGTGCCTGAAGAATATTCCAGGAATGTTGGATCCCTTGTCCTCTTGTATTGAAGCTGTATAGGCGCCTGAAGAATTTTCCAGGAATGTTGGATCCCTTGTCCTCTTGTATTGAAGCTGTATAGGCGCCTGAAGAATTTTCCAGGAATGTTGGATTCCTTGTCCCCATGTATTGAACCCGTATCGGTGCCTGAAGAATCTTCCAGGAATCTTGGATTCCTTGTATTGAAGCCGTATCGGTGCCTGAAGAATCTTCCAGGACTGTTGGATTCCTTGTCCCCGGCTGCACTCAGTGGTTTATCTTGCTGGCCCCTATGTCACTACAGGATACAGTAGTGGCAAAAAGACCAGTAGATTGAACCACTAAGTGCAGCGGAGGACCGGGAATCCAGTACTTCTGAAGAATCTTTAGAATTTGAGACTTCCAGAAATTCAGTTGCACAGGCAGTGGCAGTGATGGGTATTATCAGTCTTCTTTGCCAGGGGAACCTTTTTTACATCTTCTTGTGACCGATGATAAAGATGCAGATTCTGCTTTGAATCTCCTTCTTATGGCACTTCCTGTTATAAGGTGACACTGGCATAGGAATATTACAGGATGCTGGTCCTATGAAATGATCTGTAGTGGACCATGGTGTCAGTGCATATAGACAGAAAGTGGCTCAAAGAGGCTGGAGGTGATCAGCAGCACTGCAATGCACAAAAATGAATTTATCAACAAGGAGGCCGTGTACTTGCAGGATTTAATATTTCAACGTTATTCTTGCTGAAAGAAAATCCTCTGCTTTTGTTTTGAGTTTGAAGTGGTGGCGAGCAGCCTGAAGATGGCATATCGGGGTTTATGGCCATTCAGAGCCCACCATCTGCTTTACTGGCTACATGGAGACCTGCTGACCAACCAGCTGCTGGTTTAAGGATCTATAAACTTTCACAGACCAGTAGTTAGCTGGACAGGGAGAGATCTTTATGGCTTCAGAACACAGGAGACACCGGATGTCAGATGAGAAGAAGTGTTTACTGCAGATGACAATGTTATGAAAATCACCTTATATCTTATGTGCTCCCTTTTTTCTCATTATTCCTAATTTTTTACAAACACAATCAATTAGGGCTGCAACTAATGATTATCTTCATAATCGATTAGTTGGCCGATTGTTTTGTTTTTTTTTCGATTAAGAAAAAAAAAATTAAATAAATCCCATCCTTAATTTAAAATAAAATACGCAAATGCAGTGTTACAAACATAAAGTTTACTTTTAAAAAAATGCATGCACGATTTTTTGCAATCGCACTGGAAAGCAAGGCATTGTGGTACCGTGCGTTCCAGTGCAGCCGATCATACTGTGGGTGGGAGGCGCGTTTGGGCTGCCATTGAAATGAATGGCCCTGCAACGCACCTCCCGCAGCAGAATTTGTGAGGCCGAAACCGAAAATTTATTTTTTTCCCCACCTTTTTTATCATTTTTGTTTTTGTAATAATTGTATTGTAAGCACATGGCGCTTGAATAGCTTCAGCCAGGAAATGACAGCTGCCAGTGGCAAGATTCCGCAGACAGCTGCTGAATGTCAATACAGCAGGTAGTGAGCTGATGCAATAGCCAGCCTGCTATTGGATTGTAATAACCAATAGCAGGCTGGCTATTGCACCCGCCCGCTGCTTGCTGTGCCCTCCTCCCAGCATGGGGGAGAGCGCTGGGGATTCAACCAACTAATCTATAATGAGAATAATTGACAACTATACTTATTATTGATTATTATCGTTTAGTTGGTTGCAGCCCTACAATCAATTTTACTTCTGCAAATGGCAGAATTTATTGCGGTACAAAATTCTGAGTTGAGTCAGTCCTATAAAAATGAAATGTCTGTTTTGTAGGGCGAGTTATTCAAAAAATATCTGAGGATCTGCTAAAAACAACTTACAGCAGAATTCAGGCAAGCAGCAAAATATAGTTTAAATAGAGAATATGTATTTACCAACCAAAAGATTTGCAACTGTGCTCGGCCAAATCTAGCTATCCCTGCCAGTCAGCATAGCTGGACCAGTGACCTTCCTTATCCCTTAAGCAATACAATGGTCACCAGCCCATCCCCGCTCTGCAATTTAAACTATAAGGGCGCTGCCCCTATATTTCCCAGTCTGAGAGCTGCAGTCACAGGATTAGATCAAAGCAGTTTCAGATAGCTGCTAGTTGTTTAAAAATATATGTAATCCAGAGTCACACAGGCGTGTTAGCACAATACACAGCAAGGATGTTATGCCATTCTGAATGACACCCCAACATACAGCAGTGTGAAAAAGAAAGTACACCCTCTTTGAATTCTACGGCTTAACGTATAAGGACATAATAAAACTCATCTGGTCCTTTACAAGGTCTTCAAATTAGGTAACTAGAAGCTCAGATGAACACATGACATATTACATGGTGTCATTATTTATTAAGTCATGTGTGAAAAACCAAGTACACATTATTCAATATCTTGTAGAACCACCTTTAGCAGCAATAACGTAATCGTTTTCTGTAGGACTTTATCAATCTCTCACATTGTTGTGGAGGAATTTTGGCCTACTCTTCTTTACAACGTTGCTTCAGTTCATTGAGGTTTGTGGGCATTTGTTTATGCACAGCTCTC